CTACATTAATTTAACTGGCCTATGTAATACAGATTAAATGAAGAATATTCAGGCTGAATATAAAAGCAAACTCCAACTACATGTTGTATACAAGAAATAGTTTAAACATAAGTAACAAACAGGTTGAAGTAAAAGGACAGAAACAATAAGCAAAAAAAAAAACCAAAAAAAAACCTTAGCATGGTTATATGAATCTCAGAATAAATTAAACTCTAAGATGAATAATATTAACAGAGATTAAAGAGATATTTTGTGATGATAAAAAGGTCACTATTCAAGGATATAAAAAACTACTAAATGTTTGTATACCTAATATCAAAGTTCTCAAATACATTAGCAAACAAAAGAACATAACAAAAGAGAACTCGAGACAATGGTACTGTCACTGATAGAGATGTTTTCACTAATAGAGCCATTAAAAAAAAATCAGTTGATTTATGGATGATTGGAACAATACTAGCCACCAATTTAAAATAATTAACATTTATAGAAAATCAACAAAATATTTCAGCTTCTAAGATTCATATGAAATATTCAGAAGATATTCTGGGCCATAAAAGATGTTTCAATAAATTTCAAAAGATTTAAACAAAACATATGGCATTTAAGATAAATAAAAGGGCTCTACCTTTGAAGGTCCTCAAATTTTTGAAGTTAAAAAACACTGTGAAATAATCATTGCATCAGAGAAGAAATCACAAGATGTTTTCAGTTGCTCTTCCCTCACTCCTGAAATTTTCTTCCATTATTTGCTGAAACCTAGGTTTCTAGACACCAAAAGGAATAGGTGTTTTACTTCACAACTCAAAATAAAAGACTTAAAATGCAAATGCATGTTTAAATTAATATTTTTGAATAAATGAATTTTATTCTTGATTAATCAGTGAATGAATGCAAATAATTAAGCACTAGTTCTTCCCATTTTTGATAATGTAGGAAGAACAGAAAAGAAATAATCCAATTCAACACACATCTACTGAGCATCTACTGTTTTCTAAATCAGTGGTTTTTCACTTTTGTGTCTGTGACCTTTAGAAGAAACTGAAATAGACAACCCAACCCTATGTGAATGTACATGTATATAACCAAATCAGTGTTATAAAATTAAACCTGTGATTCCTAAGTAAATACACTCTTTATTTTCTATTCTAGAGTCTTCTGCTTAGTGTTTATGAAAAATGATGGCAGTAACCCATTAGCTCTGTTTCACTCCCCACTCATAAACTGTGATTTGTGGCCTGAAAAACACAGTGTTATCCTTACTGCTCCACATGTGGCCTGCAAACCAGCAGCATCCATGAGTGGGGACTTAAAAATAAAGAAAATACAGAACCTGCCTCAGCACATACCTCAAACCATCGAACGAGAATCTACATTTTAGCAAAACCTCTGGGTGTCCCTTACATGCTTTATTGTTTTTTTTTTCTTTTTAGTTTTTGTAATTCTTTTTTCCCTTTATTGAGGTGACATTAGTTAACAACACTGTGTATGATTTACAGAACTAGGATCATACCTCCTCAGATGTATGTATGTCATCACACCACACCCAACTCCAAAACATCCATAGTCCTTTACCATAGATCACTGGGCCCTCTCCCTGCCTTGTTCCCTCCTCCAATTTCCCTACCCCTCTGTTTGCCTCAATTCTTCAGTCATATTTCTAATTTCTTTTTGTGCTAATGATAGTTTCTTTCACTGTTCAAAAGCTTTCTAATTTGATATAGTTCCATTTGTTTTGTTTTGGGTTTTTTTGTTTGTTTGTTTGTTTTGTTTTGCTTTTGTTTCCCTTGCCATTGAAGTCTCCAAAGACATTCCTGAAATCAATGTGTTGGACTGTTTTGTCTATTTTCTGCTATGTATTTCATGGTTTCAGATCCTACATCCAAGTCGTTGATTCATTTGGAATTAATTTTTGTGAACAGTGTGAGAAAGTGGTCTAGTTTCATTCTTTGGCCTATGGCTATCCAATTTTCACAACACCGTTTGTTGAATAGACTTTCTTTTTGACTATGTGATGATCTGTGTGTCCATTTTTATCTCAATATCATAATGTTTTAATTACTATAACTTTGTAGTATACTTAGAAGACTGGGAGTATTGATTCTTCATTCTTCCTTTTTGTCGGGTTTGCTTTGGCTATTGTGGTGCCATACAAATTTCAGTAATGTTTGCTCTATTTCCCTAAAGAATAGCTTTGGAATTTTCATAGGGATTTTGTTAAATCTGTGTGTTGCCTTGGGCAAGATGACCTTTTTGACAATATTCATTCTTATAATCCATGAGCAAGGAATATCTTTCCATTCCTTGTATCTTCTTACATTTCTTAAGTGACTAATCTTTCATTACATAGATCTTTCACCTATTTTATCAATTTCTAGGCACTTAACACTTTCTGATGTCATTGAAAATGGGGCTGTTTCCTTGATTTCTTTCTCTTCTATTTTGTAGTTAGCATATAGTAACCCAACAAGTTTGATTTTGTAACCTGCCAATTTACTTTTAGAATTACTACTATTAGTTCGGCTGAGTTAGCACAGTCCATCCCTTGGATTACTTTCAGTAGATCCCTAACCAAAGGTCTCTCCTGTGAAAGAAAATAGGGCTGCCCCAAGGTGGCTATAACTGTTCATTAGGACCTTCCCTTTACGTTAGCAGGTTTCCTGAGTGATGGGAAGTTTTAGCCTGGAAGTTGCTAATCTTGCTAACACTAAAAGGCTCTCTCCCATTAGCAGTTTCTGTGTTGCATTAATAATAAGAAAGTAATAAAGAGACCGACCTCAGCTGTTCAGTCTCCCCTGAGGTGAGGCCCCAGCTTCCTTCTTATCCCGTTGGTCCACTCTAATGGTCTTGTCTGTATTAAAGTAATAGAGTACATAATAAGTGCTGTCTATTTTATCGGAGTCTAAAATTCCTTCTTTCTGGGAATGAACACCTTTTTTTAAAACCTCCAAATTTATAACCATATCATCAATACTTTTGCATTTGAAGCTGATCTGTTTAATTCATAAGGGTTTCTTTAATGTAAGTGCAAATCTTCAAGCACAGGAAGAAAGGTTTGCTTTAGGAAAAAAAAAATAAATCTCTCTACCTTTCCTGGAAGAACTATAAAACAGAAAAACAGAGAACTTGCTTAGGACATGCCTTCTTGTCCTTTTTAGGGTTTTTTGTTTTTTTTTTTTTTGTAAATCAAACCACTTATCTGCGCAACATAAAGAAAATCAGTGAATAAAGACATTTGGTTTTGTAAATATCCAAAAAGTCTCTTGGGAATAAAGAGGAAATGATGAGAAAATTTATTTTGAAACAAGACAAGTAAGATAGGATTTGTTAGGTTGAGGGTGCATTTTAATTGTGTTTTTCATGAAAATGTTATTAATAAAATAAAGATAGAAGCCAATACCATACTTAATTGTTCATGTTTTTTTTCTGTTGAAAAGGCATACCCTTTTGCAAAAGTGCACTTTTTAGAGATCATTTTTATTTAAACATCTGTTTTTAAGACTATGATCTGCCCATAGAATATGATTATCTATGTTATGGGAAAGTTGTTGTAATTTTTCACCTACAAATGAAGCTATTTTTGCTTTCAACTACATTTTTTTCCCACTGTGTAAATAGTAATCCATCATCTCACAAGTTTTACTCAGATTTTCATTCCTTGAGCTCAAAACACAAAAGAGTTTTTCTTGATTTCACTATTTTGTCCTGATTTTTAAAGATTAATTTTATAATTAGACTACATACTGCATATTTTATACTTATAATTTATGGAGGGAAGGACTAATATAAATAATAATCATCAGTGACAATATATATTTTTCAAATGAAATGTATATTTTTAACCCTTACAGAGGAAATCACTATGGTGCACTCTGTGAAATATTTAAAATTGAAGAAATTAATGTAAAAGCTAAAAGTTATTTTATAAAAACTTATGAGCAACATATTTTTCCTTTTAATTAATGAGAATATTGAGAAGAAAAGAAGACATATTTAGTAAGACAAGGGTGGCTCATAAAAAATTTCTTTTTTTTTTTAAGATTAATTTATGCTAATGTAAGGTCAGGAAGACCACAGTGCAGGTTTTCTGATCCAGCAGACCAGGTAAAGGAGGAGTCAGAGTCCTCAGTGGTTTTGCAGGTTTTTATTGGGATTACCAGGTACACAGCAGGCAGGGGCGCTGGGGGGCCGGTAGGCTGGCAGGCCTCCCAGCCCCCAGCAGGTCTTCACTCTGGGCTCTCTGGCCTTCTCTCGGCTTCTGCTTCTTTTGCTTCTCTCTCGGCTTCTGCTGGAGTCCCCGTGACACCGCCCTTAAAAGCCCAGTTGAATCCCATCTACCTAGGCCCACACCCTACTCCAGGTGCCCGCCATCAGGCATGCATTCAGGACCGAAAGGATCCATCATCTATCCTGATAGCGGGAGGGCAGAAAAGCCTGACATTTTTCCTTACCCTACAGCATACAAGAGTTGGGGTTCAGGCCAGAGATGTGGGGGGGTGAGAGGATTCACCAGAGACAGAGTGGGGAACAGAACAGGCAGATTGACCAAAGTACACTGCTGAGGGGAGCAGCGGGCAAGTCAGGAGAGGTCTGCTGCGCCATGTGGGTTGCTCCCTAGCCAGCTGGGGGGTCGAACTTATGCTGCAGAGGCTGCAGACTGCTTCACAGGTTGCATCTTAACCCCTTGCGCCACCAGGGAAGCCCTCATAAAAAAGTTCTTTAAGTGTGAAATCTTATGGATTAAAAAATATCTTTAGGAATGAGAAAATGCTTTGTTGTTTTATTTACTTGTTAAAAGCAAAATGTTCACTACGTATCAGCACGTTATTGTTATAGTTCCTTCAATTAGGAGAAGAAAGAAGTTTCAATGACATTATTATGTAACCCCAAGGGCAAATAGGCCCACTATACAGTAGCAGTGTGAATATAGAATTGTTCTAGTCATTGGTATTATACACACTCATCTTTTTTTTTTTTGTTTAAATTTTTTCTGTCCACAGTCCATGAAGGATCAGGAGAAACCAGTCAAAAGGAGACATCCACCTGTGACATCTGCCAGTTTGGTGCAGAATGTGATGAAGATGCCGAGGATGTCTGGTAATAGACCATTTCTATTTTCTTAAACAAATAGTGGCAGTACTTAATTTATCGTAACTCCATCAACTATTTACTTAAAGAAGACAATTTAGCATTTTAAAGTCTATTTCCTAAGGGCAAAGGGAATTGGGACTATAACAATACCAAGGAATTACTGAAGCTGAATTAAGAATTGGGTCAGGCAGGCAGCTTCCTATTACTTCCGAAGGTCCGTTAAGATAAACTGAGATCCTTCAATATTGCCAATGTTAAGAGATGGAGAGAAAAATCATATCTACTAGAACATCTCTCAAGAACAATAATCTAGAAACAATGAACAGTTAGTGCTTTCTAAAATGGTGCATCTGGGTAGCTGCAGAGATTTTAGTTGAAGATATGCACGTGTGCACGCGAACCTGAGCTGGGAAGATGGTCGGGCAGAGTGATATCTGAGCTGCTCTCTGGGGTCAACTTCTCTTTTCAGTCAAGCAATATTCATCTTCTATAAAGATATGCTGAACAAATAATAAATTAAATCTGGTACTTTAAAAGGGTTCCAGAATGGAACTTTTGATGGTATTCAAAGTATCACTGTGTCTTGATGAGACCCAAATTGAACACACAAATTTAGAGTCTGGTTCTTGTGGATTGGTATTGGAAAGGACAATCAGGCAATCTATTTCTCTGTCTCTGTCTCTGCCTCTCTCCCTCTCTCTCTCTCTCTCTCTCTCTCTCTGCACACACACACACACACACACACACACACACACACACTTTCCCTTCATAGGACTGGGGCCAGGTTTAAAATAGCTTTTGGGGCCTCCCCGGGGGTGCAGCTGTTGAGCGCTGGGTTGCGAAACTGCCCGCGGCCTCTGCAGCACCGGTTCGATCCCCGGCTGCTCCCAGGCCGCCGGAGGAGGGTCCCACATGGCGCGCAGACCTCTCCTGCTACCCGCTGCTCCCCTCAGCAGTGTACTTCGGTCCTTCTGCCTGCTCTGCTCCCTGCTCTGGCTCTGGCGAATTCTCTCACCCTCCCGCGCTTCTGACTATACCCAGTGCTTGTATAAATAAATAAATAAATCTTAAAAAATAAAAAATAAAAAAAAACAGCTTTTGAATGCAGATTAAGTTGAGGATTGCAACTGAGAAAACTCAGTTACTTAGGGTAAAGTGGCAAGGTATTTGCAGGTGAACATTGCCATTGAGTAAAAAAAAGCAGCTGTCAGTAGTCTCCACACCTGTCAAACATGTCTAACTAAGAAGCAGCAAGGAGCTAAGTCAGGGCATCTGTGCACTGGTTTGACCACCTTGAGGTATGCAAACTTATGTTTTCTTACATCTTCATTACTGATGAATTATGGTTCCCAAACATGGCTTATCATCAGAATTACTGTGGGAATTTTTTTAAGCACATCAATACTTTACTGATGTAATGAGTTAAATTTTCTGAGAAGTGAGACTTAAATTTTTACTTATTTAAAACTCTCCAAATGATTATGAACATACTGCTCTAAAATAATAAAAGATTTAATACCCCTCCTCTCTAAATGGTTTAGGGCTCTTTATGGTCTGAGTCATTTTATATTAAGCCACACTGATAGGAATTAAATTATCTCATTTTTAATGTTTGTTGGTGACTACATCTGTAGTGCAGCATTGTTTTAAAGCTGTTAATTATCTGGCTGTCAATTATACTTTAAAAAATTCAGATGTGTCCTTAATTTTTTTCTTCAGAATTTTTATTGTAGTTTCTCATTTCTTTAGTGATTATCTTTAAGTGACATAGTTCTACTTTAAAGTGCCAAGGTTTAAGAAATGAGATAATGGTGTAACTAAAAATTGCTGGTTATTTACTATGGGCTTGGTCCTTTTTTATGCAGTTTTTCTCAATTATCTTCAAAATAACACCAGGAGTAGATTCCACTATTATTTCACTTTACAATAAGGAAAACGGTGTTTTGAAGTATTTAAGTGGTGAGGCCAAGATAGAAATATGAGGTGAAAATAACTAAAGGATATTAGCATAACAACTCAACCAAAGATGCAATTGAAATAATAATATTTATTTCTTGTCATGTCTGGAATAATAAGATGGACAGATTGCAGACAGCTTATATCCAGTGACTCAAGACCAGTAGGGTTGGATCTGGTGGCAGGGAGATGGTTGCAGCAGGCAATGGGATAATATCCAAGAAAACAGTGTCACTCTGGTATTATAGCAAAATTTCAGTATGGTACAAAGGCAGGCAGTATCAGTGAGATGAGTAGTGTTAGTGGCATCAGAAAGATTCAGCTATAGGTTGTAGTGCAAATGGAATTCAGAAAAAAGAATTCAGTTACACAAGCAGGGGACAAGGTAAAGAGCAAAGCAGAATCTCAGTAATCAAGGAATTGGGGATCTATCAGGAGAAAGAACCAGGGACTGAAATGTGAAAGACTGGATAGACATCCACTTACCACAACTAGTATAGGCAGCCAAGTCTTGGTTACAAGGACCTGAGACAAGTGTCTAGATCTGGGAAATAAATTACAAGGTTAGAATGAAACTAGCAGCAAGGCTGACTGGATGCTGAATCAGTTAGCTATTGGCTAGGACTTTATGAATGCCTTCCCTAGAGACAAGATTAGTTCCAAAATTCAGAATAAGGCTGAACCTCCAGATGGGGCTAAGTGGCCATAGCTGTGAAGATTAGAGGGCTACAGGGGGCAGGGAGCCAAGAAGATCATTATACTTTCCAGGCAACAACGAAAAGTTGTTAGCGTTTAAATAAAATGTACTTAAGATGTTCAATGTAAGCAATAAAGAGTATTGCTAAAATGATAAGCAAATTGATTTTCATTTATATAAATACCTTTGTATGTTAACATATTGTATTTAGTTATGGCCATGCAGGGCAGATTGGAAACAGTTAAAGGACACAAGAATAAAATAATAAATAAAATTAAATAGGCATGGAAAGAAAGAGGTTATAAAGCAAGATAGAAAGCAAAAGGGGAGTGATACAACGCCAGTACCAGTCAGCTGAGTCAGGGGAGCCTCAATGTGCTGTTGATTTTGGATGAAACCACAACCGGATCCTCTTGGAAACATACTGCAGGTGCTCTGTAACAACGAAGAGTATAATTCAGTGTTTTGCTTTATTTTTTCCTTTAACACTAGCAAATCTACACTTTTATACATAAGAATTTTCTCTACCGGGCCTCCCCTGGTGGCGCAGCAGTTGAGAGCTGGGCTGCGAGGCTGCCCGCAGCCTCTGCAGTGCGGGTTTGATCCCTGGCCACCGGTGAGGGTCCCGCATGGTGCGGCGGACCTCTCCTGCCGCGCCCCTTGCTCCCCTCAGCAGTGTGTTTCGTTGGTCTGCCTTTTCTGTTCCCCACTCTGGCTCTGGTGAATTCTCTCACCCTCCCGCGCTTCTGACTGTACCCAGTGCTTGTATAGATAAATAAATCTTTGGGGAAAAAAACAAAAAAAAGAATTTCCTCTACTTTGTATTATGAAGTAATAGGATGTGAATTTATGCCACTGAGAAATAGCATGACTGTTGTGTCTACAATATTGAAACGTGATGAAAAATTAATTCTTGATATTTCTTTAACCATGGCCTTAGAAATACCTTACATTTTACCAGGAGGATTAAGTCTAGTTGTTCAAAGTTACTTAGGTTACTTTCTAGGTGAAGATTAATCTTTGTTAAAATTAAAAAGCCAGAAAACAATCAACTGACTTTGTTTATACAGATGAAGTTTTTGAGTTAGGAAGCACATTATTCTGGACAAGAGGAAGAAAAAATTAGATGGAAGGATGAGGGGTAGGGAGAGGAAAGGAAAAGAAGAAAAAATATGAAGACATGACGTTGATAAACCTTGATGCTAATGACACATTTGAATGCCTTTATTTTGAGCAAATGAATAGTTTGTAAGTCTTTACTTAAGTTCTATGATTTCATTACAAGGATATTCTTTGGCCTTTTTCTTCTTCTTATGAAGAACATCAAGGCAGTAGAAATTAGAAAATGGTCAAGTTTTCTCAGTAGGATAAGAAGACCATTGCTACAAAAGATTCCTCAGGTAGGAAGGGATTAAGATTTCAAAAGAGAGAATTAAGAGTCCACATGGTAAGTGGCTCACACCCCAGATACATGCACTCACATATTGAGTATTTAGGATGGACTTCAAAGAAATTGGCACTCCTGCGCAAAGGGTGAGTCTGCTCATGGGGAAGGGGTTAAAAGGAGAAGAAAAGAAGGGCTTAAAAGATTGTTTTTCTTCATATCAACACTGAAAAAAGTCAAAACTAATATATTTATACATCAAAGAGAATCTCAAATACACCCTGACAAATATAATTTATAAAGAAAAAGAATGGCTTATAAATAAGTCAAACATAATAAAATTGACTCATTGCAAAGTAATAAAGCCCTGTCTGATAGCACTGGGGATACCAACTTATGATTTCAACAAATATTTCTGATACTTGGCTGGTTTTTAGAAACAGTTTTATATCCCCTTAATTATCTCACCTGATAAATTATTTCAGTAAGTCCAAAGTAGGTCAGTAATAACTCTTTGCACTGGGAACAACTCCTAAGAAGTAATTAGCCTAGAACTTTCTGTTGGTCCTGTCAGTCAGAAGTAGTTCAGAGCCCTGGGGTTGATACTTGATTTAATATAAGAAAAAAAAAGTTGATAATTCAACCTGATCACAGGAATGACTGGGTATGAAGTTGGCTTCATGCCTAACATTTCCAGGATATCAGAATAGATCAAGGCAGGGAGCACAGGTGTAAGAGCAGATGTGGCTCTGTGACAAACGACAGAAAGGGACAACTTAAATTATAGTGTGTCTTTGCTTCATACATATGCTTTGGAGCTCCTATTTTCATCTTAATTTTGTTGTTTTTTTTTAAATTATTCTCTGTATTAGCAAATCCTCTTGGCTTAAATGCTAGTAATTTCTCTGAAGTCATTCATTTTGCCTTTGAAAACATGGATGTCTTCCAGTTTTAGTGCATAGTATCTTT